GGGCCGGGGCCGGCGCGCTCGGCGCTCGGCTGAGCGGCCTGCGCGTCAGCAGCGCCCCCTGGCGGGGCGGGCGGGCGGTGCCGCTTCGGGCGGGTCTCGGCTGACGGAGCTTTGTTCCAAACACTTTTCCCTCAAAACCCGCCCGGGCTGGGCTTTGGGCGCAGGGAGGTGATGTTACCCTTCTGCTCAGCCCCTGAGGCGCACCTGGAGCGCTGTTGCAGTTCTGGGCTCCAGCACACACACGGAGCTGCCCTGCGGGGGCTGCCGAGGGGATGGAGGGGCTGCAGCGTCTGTGAGGGGGAGGCTGAGGGAGCTGGGGCCGAGCAGCCTCGGGAGGAGATGGCTCATTAATAAATATCTACAGGAAGCTGTCAGAGCAGGACCCAAGCAACGGGCAGGAACTGCTGCCCAGGAAATTTCACCTGGACAGGAGGCAGAATTTCCCTGGGCTGTGGCCAGCCCTGAACAGATTGTCCAGAGAGGCTGTGGAGTCTCCTCCCTGGGGATATTCCAGAGCTGTCTGGACACAATCCWGTGCCACGAGCTCTGGGATGGCCCTGCCTGAGCAGGGAGRTGGCACCGAATGGACCCACGGTGGTCCCTCCCAGCCTGAGCCATCCTGGGATTTTGTGATCTTGTAGCATTGTCCTGTCCCCTGCACTGACAAGAGGCTGCCATTGCTCTCCAATTCCCTAAGCACATACCTAGGAGTATGTAAAAAATAAAAATAAAAATAATTATACATACAAACACACATATACAAGTGAATATGTATGTAATAGTTAATATTACAGAATACTCATGGGAGGATCAGATTCCAGACAACTCGTGGAACAAAAGGAGTGCCCTCCCCAACACAGCATTTAATGAACAAGAAAGAAAACAAAAAGACATCCCCACTCCCCCTTCCACTGCCCCAGACAGCTCCACAACCCCCAGTGAATTCCTGTCGGAATCTCCTCATTCCCACGCTCRGTGATTTGAGTTACAGCTCCAGGTAATTAACTCCATTCTATCATGTCTGGTAAGGAAATTAGTTTTCTTATCAAGAGAACGGCTTGTCTCACAGAATGTTCTTCTGACAAACCCCTGGTGTAATTTGTGTCACCTTCTGGTCACCTCATTGTTCAGCAGGTTCTTTTCCTCTCAGAATTTGTTCCAAAACTTCCCGCGTTGGGATCACACTCAGATCTGTGTTGCTTCTACCAGCTCTYTTCTCTTTTGGGGTACAGGCACCACGTTTGTCACTCTCCTGCCCAGATCTCTGAATTTAGAATCATCCACAAGTCCTCAGACCACAGCTGTAATTCCGTATTTAGTTCTCTCAATATTTTAAGATGGAGATGATCTACGATCTCTGGTCTTCTCAAAACATTTGCTCAGTCCTGAGGCAACAGCTCTCAACCTCTTCTCTGCCCAGCTCAGGCTATACAGTCAGTATTCTCCTCTTCTCCAGGCYACTAAATTATTTCTTTAATATAAAACCTGAATATTTTGGCACTTCTTTTAATTTTCTGTGAGTGGYTGAGCTTAACCAAGATTTTGGGTAGTCCCTGCTGTAGCAAAAGTGTTTGCAGATATGTTAATATGGTTGGTATGAGCTGCATGTAACCCTAAATAAGAAATACATGTAAGGAAAGCCTCCTTCTAGGGTGTTCAGGGATTCGGGACACATACAGTGAAGATTAGGGAGAGGAAGATGTGAATGCTCCTTTGCTTTCCYTCCTTGCCCCACTGTGTAAGTGCTGAGAATGAATATTTTTGCCAGTAATAGGTTTTACAAACAGTAAGATTTAAAAATCACTCTTGTGAGTTTGATCATTACCTGAAGCAACTCAGAGAATCCCCTTTCTTGAGATAGATGGGATGAACAGCACCTCCATGGGACATTTTTCCTGCACCTTCCCGGCAGACGGCCAAGGAACACGGTAAAAGTGAGCAGACCTTGTCAGAGAAAGCCTCTGCAAATAAAGTTAAGACCTTTCTTTTGTTCCACAGCCAGTTTTTCTACGTGCTCCGAGGTCCACAYGGATTATCTTCAAAATTCTTTTGTTTCATGGACTTCCAGGGGAGACTCAGTTACACAAACATGAGCTCATCTGAGGTAAGAGATTCCCAGATACAGCTCTTTAAAACCAAAACAGTCAGGTGACATGGAAATCTTGTGATTCTTAGAATGTATTTTTTGCACTTGTGGTTCACYTGGTAGCTCCCCATTTGAAATAGCTGGAGTGAGATATAAGTGGGATGAAGCACCTCACATCCGTTCCAGAAATCAATACTGCAGGTGTTATTCAAAACAAATATGAAATYTAAAGTTGACCTTCAGCCAACTGTGCAAAGTAAAGAAAGCCCTCTCTGGGCGTGCAGCCTCACTGGGCTCCACAACAACTACAACAGTGAGATTATCCTAAATAACATCCATATCTTTAAATTTAACCCTGACCATGAGCAGTTTCCTGCTGAGGCACATCTCACTTCACTTCAAACAGTCAGCCTTGTGCAGAGTTCAGGAAGCTGCRATGGCATCCATAGGGTAACTACGTTGTTCAAAACTACTGACACAGACTGCAGAAAAAAACCCCAAGTACCAGAAGCTTTAGGGTAATTTAAATGAGGCTCATCATCACTAGTTCTTCTTGAAAAACACATTTTTGGGTGCTTAAAGAAGGGAAGATGGCCATGACTCACCAGTGACAGAGACACTCTGGGCAGCAGGGAACACGTCATGACCAAGAGCTGCAGTCTGAAGGGCAGAGCAAGGCTGGCACCAGCTAAGATGGCTCTGTCATTGGTCAAAACCACTTGAAATAAATCAGGAATGCCAGTTTTTACAGAAATTTACCTATTGCAGTAACCCCCACAGGACCACATGTACCAATTTCACTGAGATTCTCTCTCTGGTGAGAAAATGCTTTGAAAAAATTACTCAGGGTAGAAAATGCTCAGTTATCTCATCCTGTGAAAAAAAACCCCACAACTGGAAAATGAAGTTTTTCTTTCTGGTCTTGAGTGTGCCTGGATTACTGAATTTCGAAAYTGTATTCTAATACAGAAAACCAAAGTTGCACAAGATACTTCCCCACTGTACATTTCCAAATCTTGCTTGAACTTGTAACACGTGAGCCCTGGGGGTATGGGGAAAATCAGCTACAGCCCCTGCAAACTGCAGGGAGCCAAACCTYGGCCAGAGCCAATTTTTCAAACTATTCTGAAGCCAGTGCTTGTAAAATAAAGGTGTGACCTAATTGTCAGACATATTTATATCTGGGTAGGTTACACGTGGTTTTGCTTATCAGTGACAGAGATCCAAGAAGATTTGATAATCCATGAGCTAAAATGGGAACTAAACCCAACCCTGACTGGCTCCTGAGCTCCTGCTGATCTAAGAAAGCTTGTGAGCCTCAAGGCTGGCCCATTTTTGTCCTTTATTGTAGGAAAGCACATCAACCCTCTCTATCTCAATCCTATCTTGGACTATCACATCCTGTACTTGTAGGTAAGGAGATAAATCTAATCTAAAATACRAAATGTAATCGTTATCAGATTTGGGATTTCTATCAAAAATGCTGCACCCCAGCTCGTGCAGAGGAGTCAGGCAAAGCTTTCCGAGAACATGCAATTAGGATTGGTACTGACCTATGAGTAAGTAGTATTTTTGATACGTGCATTAAGAACTCTCCACTATGCGGGATAAGCCGCCACATTTACACATTAACACCTTCCCAGAAACCCCAGGAAAAGCTACTTTTTGTTATTTCAGCAAGACTTTGCAGCTCTGTACTGGGACTCCTGCATTTCACAGAAGTTGGTGCTCATGTACAATGGTCCCACCATTCCTTTATCCACATAACCTGTGGATATTGCCTTGCAGTGGAGAAAGTAAATTAAGCAAACTGCTAGAAAACACTGATATAAATCAGCAGAACTCTAATGAAGCACGTGGAGCTCTGTTTGAACATGCACTTTTAAAATTTCTCTTCAGGTCTCAAACAAAAATTAGATTTAGACAATTATCCTCCCATTAATATTAAAACCAAAGTCGATTGATTTTTGTTTCCTATACGTTTCCCAGCTTGTTTTGTCCTACCCGRCAGTACCAGCCGTGCCAAGCTGCACTCGGGTTGTTGTTGCTCTTAGTCATCACCTGCATCTGCTCACTCCCATTTTTCATTTGTCCCATCCCCCACTGGAACATTTTATCCTAATTTAACGTGGAAATGCAGGCGGGATATATGGAACGTGCAACAGGATCTGCCAGCACAGATTGCAATTAAAGCTGTTTAAAATAGCACAAAACTGTTAATTGYCACCGAGGAGAAATTGGCCATTTGCAGCGGAATTGGTCTCATTATTACAAGCATAGTCACATGTGCGGGAGGATTTAGGAACGCACAGGGAGCGAGTGCTGGCACCRTTAGAGGGTGCTGGAGTCCACACAATCCCAGCCCATATCCCGCACCAGAGCTGCTCATTCTCCACCAGGACGGGGSAGGCTCAACGATGGTAATGACAGAAAGACAAATCTGGGGATGAAAAACCATAAACTTGTTTTGTCACGTGTATAAGCCTTGCACAGATATCGATTGAAATATTTCCCCACCGCTATTGTCTTCATAGACTCCACAAAGATTCACAGCTGATGAAATGCACTTAGTGATAAAAAATGCCACGAAATACCATAAACATGACATTTCCTGTTTCCTGAATTCTTAATTTTCACCCTAAATAACATCCTTCTAGTAAGACAYTTGACATTTATCTTTCCATATCTTTTAAAGGCAGAACCTTAACACAAATATCATTCTACAGATTCTACAGCAAACCTTTTACTAATCCTTCCTCTTCTTCTGCGATCATCAAGAGTATGCTGAATTTTTCTCACAGACATTTGCTATTTGACATTGGATTAAACACAGTAATTGGTGCTCACTGACTGCTGACCTAGTGGA